CCCCAAAACCCCAAAACCCCAAAACCCCAAAACCCCTTATAAATTGTTATAAATTGAAGGAATTTTCGCATACTTTCCACTGCTGATATTTAAATATCCACCTTGAGTCTTCTAGCCTTCATGATTTCTCTCTTGGTTGGAATGTGGGACTCGAATATATTACTGAAAGACCCTTTGAATCTTTCAGGACTGATTTTCTTAGACTTCCATTGGTGATCAATATCGACTCCTTTATCGACTTTGTGCAGGTTTCTGGTCAAATTCTTCTTTCTTCTATCATTAATAAAATCTTTCTCTATCTTTACAGCAGTCTGGGCTTGATGGATCTGGTTATAGACATCACTGGTAGGGTTAAGAGGGTTTTCAATGCCAATAACTCCATGTCTCCAGCCAGATTTCATGAGTCTTTCTCTTTTGGTTACATAATTCTTCTTCTCCTTAAGTTCTTTAAAGTTACTCAAACCTTGCTTCTCTTGTAAGAAGTCTTGATATTGCTGTTTAGAGTTCTTTAACAAATTATTGGAATTTGGAACAACCATACTTTTCCTTGAGATGTCTGGAAGGATTGTGCTAGTCTGACCTGAGCCATTTTCAAATTTTGTTGATGAGAAAGATCTCTTCAAGTCATCTCTCTCCTTTTGGAAAGGATTTTTTGCAGTTGAATTGTTCATTTTGGCCTCTCTTTCAGGAGATCCAGTGATTAAGGACGAAGGCCCATCATACTGGTCCACATAAATGCTCTGCTGCTGTAAGTCTCTAGCTAGGGTCAGAAAGCAAGGAGAAGGCCTCATATTGTCAAGCCCTGAGGAAGGAATCGACATGCTTTTCCTTGAAGAGTTTATGCTAGGTTTCGTATAAGGCACATTACTGAAAATATCTTCATTATGAGTATATTTCGGCATATTAGTTCTGTATGTCATTGCCTTACTTCCAGAATTTATGATTTTCTTCAACCCTTCATGAGAGTCACGAAGTCTTATAGTCTTAGCATAATTATTCCCATTCGGAGATTGATTGCGATTCCACTTATTTGGAGGGAAATTCATTTTATTTCAATATTTTTATAGGAAAATGGGGTTTTGGGGTTTTGGGGTTTTGGGGTTTTGGGGTAGTTGGAGGGGTTTAGGCATGAAAGAAGGGATTGGGAGGTTGGTTGTGGCTTGTTTGGGGATTTTTAGGATGGTGATGGGTATTTTTGAGGTAAAAAAAAGTTAAATGTAACTAAATAGCATGAATAGTTTTGAACAGAGTTTAATAATTATTGTCTGACTCTCAATCTTCTCTTTATTTCCCATTATTTTTTCCATTAAATTTTGAGATTACTTACAGTTAAAATGAATCAGGTATCGATAGCTCTGAGAAGACTTACTTTGGAATAATTTAGTTTAATGTTCTCTCACTCCAAACTGTGATCGAACTTTCGAGTGTATGTATTCAGCTAAACTTGATTGGCATCTATTAAATTCTTACTGAATCTGTTAATTATTAATCATATCTATTACACTCTTCTATTTCTCAAGTGGCTTGCTTATTCCATAAAAATCTCTAAAAATCAGAAAGTTATCTCAAACAGCCCAAGATAGTCTCTTCAATTTAATGAAATAACAGTGAGTTTCAAGTAAGCATATCAAACTACTTCTAGCTCTGCTCATCTGGGTATCTCTGATGTTAAAGTTAAAATCTCCTTTCTTAGTCTTCCAGCCCATCTGAGATTTATAAGTTAATCTTACTCTTGATCACGATTGATTTAATGGGTTTTCCAGAATATTTACACCCACTTTGAACCACAGATAACTCTACATTTCCAAGTAGTTAGCCTTTAATTAATATCTTGCTGAGTACTGTCAAATCCTCTATGGCAAATAGACCAATAGTATTTGTCGGAACTTATTTGATATATGGTCTAGTCAAGTAGAATTTAGATCAACATGGATCTGCGAGGAGTCAATCCTGTTCGAGTAATGAGATCTTACTTCTTCTAATGACTTAAAAATATCCATCAACATAAATAGTGGGTTGATGAAGAAAGGGATAAAATTTAGAAGATTTCTATTTAATTTAAATGGACTTAAGCCATTCCAAACTCGAATGACATTGTTGAGAGAGAACCAAGCATTAAGGATAATACCATGCGGATGAGACTTTCTTTATTAGGAATTCATGAATGATCTTCTTTATGATTGAAGCGATAGTAAGAATATAGTGAGTGCAAACACTTAAAGAACATCATTCAGCATATTAGTTCTATGTCGCTTTTCAATGCTAAGGATCCTTTAATCTACTTCAACTGTGTTTTGAACTGGGTTAGACAACTATTAATTTGACAAGTTTTATGTGTTTACTGTTTGAGTTGAATTTTAGCATAAAACTTGGGTTTTTGGGGTTTTGGGGTTTTGGGG